CCGCCCCTCACGGATTTTTATTTCCCTCCAACGTCTTATTGTTCCTCTTCAAGTAATTTAGTAAAACTTGTCTTCGATTAAATCCCTCTAATAAGAAACATTCTACTAGAATTTGTTTCTATTCATTACCTTTAGGAATAAAGCAAACAAGAAAACTTACTAGAAGGGATTTATTTTTGTAAAATACCCGGCACAAGGTATATACATCTAACAGTACTAAAACATGGAAGAAGGAAGAAACAGATGGATGGGTAAATACTTCCTTTCCACACAGTATTGCAAGTGCTATTTAATACACTGTATTTTCCCAATTTCAACCATTGCACTGTGCGGTTTATATATACTTTTTTTTTTTTGGCATGGAGACAAGCTCCTCCTTGACTGTGTGGGCTTTACGAAGCATTAGAAATATAGGGCACCTTAGAATGCAACCAAAATAGGAAACTTTGCAGAAGGTTATCTTGTTATTTTCTCCGGAGAGGCTGAGTTTTCCACTGTGGTTCGGCCTTGTGGTTTCAGACGCACAGCGCTTGCGGAGCGCGCCCCCTCTTATGTAACAGCCGCCACGTGGTGGGCGCGCAGCCGCCTGGCCGCCCTCGCTCCGCTGCGCTGTGCTGGGCAGGACCCGCCACCCGGGCGGCCCTGCCACCCGGTGCTCCCCCACAGCACACCTCCTCTAAGGCGGGGCTTGAAAATTTCAACACTGAAAGTGTGCAAAATAAAGTTCTACTTGGAAAAAAATAAGCACATAAAGCGAACCCTCTTAAGGAAAGTCACCAACTGGGGACCAGCGTCGTCCACGCCGATCGACACTGTGCCCCCAGCTCTCCCTGCAGGTGCGGAGGAGCAGGCCCCGAACCCAGGGCCGCCGTGGCCCAGCTCCTGCCTCACCGCGGACCCCTGGAGTCACCCTGTGAGGACCACAGAGGACGGAGGAGCCACGAGGGGACAAGGAGCGGTGTGGACAAGGTCCCCGCCCCGCAGGCTGGTGAGAGAACGGGTTTTTATGGGAGTCGGGAATGAAGTTCTAGTCAGTAACAGGGTGTCCAACCCGCGGCCCACGGTGGCTATGACGGCGGCCCAACACCAATTGCCAACACTTCTTTTTGACTCCTCAGTTGTCAGTGTCTGTGTATTTAACGGGTGGCCCAAGACAGCCCCTCTTCTTCCAGCGCGGCCCGGAGACACCACAAGGCAGGACGCCCTGTTCGTGTGTTAGGTCATCGAGATTCTGAAGTTGCCAACAGCAACACAAAGACCAAAAGTGAAGAAATACAACTCAGCAGTAATAGTTGGAGATTTCAGCGCCCCACTTTGAAGAACAGATACAACTAAAGAAGAAACTCGAACACTGGACACGGGCCAACCTACAGGATGTCCCCAGGGCGCCCGCCTCCCCCAGCAGAGACAGGCAACTCCCGGGCGCACGCAAAACGCAAGCCAAGGGCACGCCCGAGGTGCGCGGCGACGCCCCTTCGCGCCCCCCAGGACGGCTCCACTTCAACAGAGCGGCGGCCCTGAGGCCCGTGGGGACGTGGGGACAGGAGGCTGCAGGTGAGCCGGGGGCGGCGGGGGGGGGCAGCCGGCAGCGCAGCTGCTGTAGGCGGCGGTGTCGCAAGCCGCCCGCTGAGCTGTCACACGGCTCAGAAGCTCCACCTGGCGGGGCCTGAGGGAAAAGAAAACCTGCACCCACACAGGACCTGCACGTGGGTGCTCTCTACAGGACGGCGCGCGACAGCCACGAGCGCAGACAGCTGAGCGCCCACCAGCTCCTGAACGGCCCATCGCGCAGGGCGTCGTCCCCTGCAGCGGACGTTCAGTGAGGACAAGCAGCAACACGCCAGGGAAAGGGCCACCTCGTGGGTGGACCTCGAACACCCCCGGCTCGGGAAAGCAGCCGGTCGGGGGGCCACTGCGCCACTGCATACGGTGCGATCCCACGTACCGGATACCCCCCGAGCAGGCGCTCTGTGGCGACAGGGAGCGGCTGTCCTGGTGAAGGGGGAGGGGTGGAAAAAGGGGGTGACCAGGATGGGAGCGAGGTTCTCTCGGGGGACGTAGGTGTCTCAAAGCCAGAGGTGGCGCCCACAGCTCGGCCCTGGGGAGGGACCGGCCGCGGTGGCCTCGTGCCCCTCGCGTGGTGGGCAGTGCAGGGCGCGAGCCATTTCCCACTAACACCATTTGCTGCTGGAGAGGGACGGAGCGCCGGCTCAGTGGCGCGCACCTCGGGGAGCTGTGCCCGCGGCCAGACGTGGCCAGCCAGCTGCAGGGAAGGCGTGCGGTGTGCGCGCTCCTTCAGGGCGAGGGGCTTTTGAACAGATGTGACTGGGGCCTGGGACGGGCCAGACTATGGAACCTGCTGAACAGACAGACAGAGGTCCCCTTCCTGTCGTCTACGCTCGCGTTTCAAAGGGGCCTGAGGCAGGAACCGTGAGGAGGCCGCAGGAGCCCGCCGCCCTCCGGGGCGAGCAGCCACCTGGCCCCGCGTTTGGTGACGAGCCTTCGGGGGCGCCTTCCAGGCACCTACCTGGCCAAGGGCAACGCGCCCGCCCCTGCCCCCAGGGACACAGCTCCCTGCCTCCAGGAGATGCGCCTGAGGGCAAACGGCCCTGCCCGGCCAGCTCGCCCTGCCGGTGCCGCGGCCCCTCTTCACCCTGCGGTCTCGAGGGCAGAGCCGGGCCGCGCTCCGGGGGCCGGAACCGGGTTCGGGGGCGCCTCTGCCGGGGGGCCCCGGTGTCTCCGCTTCCTCCCCTCGGAGCCGCGGTGGCGGCGTGACTGACACCCAGGCTCTGCCCGGCCCAGGGGCGCCTGAGAGGGCCCCAGTCCCCAAGCCCCCTGATGCGGGAGGTGGCCCAGGGAAGACAGTAGGGGAAGTGACTCGTGACGGGACCTCAGAGGAGGAACCGAAACCTGTCGGAAGCTGCACTGCGGCCCCACCCCACCCCCGGGAGCCGGCCCTTCTTCCCCTTCCCTCCACACTCAGGTTCCGCTGAGTCTGAGGGCTCTGCTCTCCCTGGTAAAAATCACTGTTTCCTGGGCGCTCCGTTTGCCAGGGACAACACAGGAGGGGCCCCGCCCTGTGTGGGGCCCCGCGTCTCCGCTGCAGGGCGCCCTTCCTCCTCAGAGCCCCGCGTCCCTGGCAGCTGGGCGGGGCCTCTCCAGCCCCGTGCAGGGCCCGGCCTCCAGGCCACCAGCTCCTGCGGTCCTCGGCACGCGGGGCACAGCCCTCTTGGTCCCAGGGCCCGTCCTAACTGCGGCGCAGGCCGGGGCGTCATGCAGGGTACCCAGCACCCCAAGCGTCTGTAGGACGACCAGCATCAGGTCCCCCGTGACAGGGCGGGCGGGTTCCAGTTCCCAGCACACCCAGGGGACACAGAATATGGCTGTGACCGGGGCCGTGAGGGGACACAGAAGAGGAGCTGCCCAGGTGTGAGGTGAGGACGGGGTGGGGTAGGGAGAGGCAGCTGCACAGGCACCGGGCCCCGCCCGACAGCCGCTGGCGCAGGGGACCGTCCCCTCTACCCCGTTTAAAAGTGAGACAAGCAGGCCTGCCCCACGCCTGCCGAGAACAGAGAGGGCGAGGAACGCCACACGCTCTCAACGACAAGGGAATTTCACCCGGACGTCCATCCCAGGGACGGACGCGCGAGGCGGCGAAACATGGGCGAATAGGACACAAGGACAAGCCAGGGACGGCCCTCTAGGCCGGAGCCTCCCTGAGAACCAGAGGGAAACCAGCCGGAGAGGAGCAACAGGCACCCCCGCGCCAGGCCCCGGGGCCGGGGCAGAGGGGCCGCGGCCGGAGCGGGGCCCCGACGGGCAGCGCAGACGCGCGGCTGCTGCCCCACGCGACACGGTGCACGGGGGGGGGCGGGGGCGGGGGGGCTCTTCATTCACTTCCCGTTATCACCCGTGACACGAGGCCTAGCGTTCGAGAAACTCCACTGCGAAACACAGATTCTACCACAGAAACGTATTTCACCGGTTAACACATCAGTACATGTTTAACCAAAAAACACCCGCTCACACGCAGACCCCAGCTAACCCCGGGGCGCGCACGGAGCGCGGCTCCGCACAGCTGGACTGCGTGCTGCCCCGGCGCGGCGCATGCGGGGCTGGCGGAAGGGGATCCCCAGGCTGCCCCCCGCCCTCGAGACACCGCCAGGAGACTAGGTTCTCTGGCAACAGGAAAATGCCCTTTTGAATATTCCAGATGCTTCTGTTCAAAAGTTTTCCACAAATTAAAAGCCCTCTCCTGCTCTTCTTCCATTTCTCTGGAATCTGGCTCCTACCCAGTAACGTAAAAATAAGCCACGCACCTGACACGCCCCCAGAGGGCCCGGCAGAGCCACCGCACCTCGTCGACGCAACGGGGCCCCTCCGGCCCGAGGACGAGCCGAGGGCGGCCCCTGCGGCCGGCGTCGCCGCCCATTCTTGGTCCCCTCGGTGCTCGTGGCCCGGCTTTGCTCACATCCGAGAGTCAGAGGCGAACGTCCCAGCACCTCCGCCCTGCTGCAGCCATGTCCCTGCACCTGCGAGGCCCAGTGGGCACTTGGGTGACACCAAGGCTCCAGGGACGTGAACCACTGGCAACGAACCGGCCCTCAGGCCTGCTCCCCTGCGGAGGCCGGTGGAGGGGTTTCCCCTCTATCAGTACAGAGAACTTTTAGTAAAAACCCGTAATTTAATTGAAATAAAAAAGTACAGAATCCACCATGCAATCACAGCTTTACTTGTAACGACACGCCACACACACACACACACACACACGTCACCACCCGCCGACCCTCACAGCTCGGCGGCGTCGCGATCGGCAGCAGCACAGGGCACCGCAACGGCGGGCTCTGGTGCCCAGGGTTGCGGTGAGACCGGGCACGGCGGGGCGGGCTCGCCGGCGTGGGAGCGGCCCCAGGCCATTGCCGTGGCCGCTGCCGCGGCCCGACGTGGATCCAACACGGTGCACTCACAGGTGTGACGAGCAGCTCGGCTGGACGGCCTCGGGGCAGCTTGGTGCGCGAGGTCTCAAGACATCGCCACAAACAGTGACTAGCGCCCCCGCGGACAGAGGCCCTGGGACTAAAGCTGCTCCCGGGACACAGGGCAGTCACTGGCCACCACCACGCCACAGCAGGACGAGACATCACAGCCACCTCTAGGACGCTTTGCAAACAAGCCGGGCCGAGCAGCACGCCCCAGGGCGTGTTCGGGTCGCCTGAAAGGTCCGATGGCCCCTCGCGGGGGAAGCGCACATGCCACGCCGCCCGGCCCGCCCGGGCCCTCCGTGATCCGCAGCGGCACACCGGGTGGCCGTGGCCGCACACACACGCGTGCGGCGGGTGGGGACCTGTGGCTGTGCCGACGCTGTGCACTGGGCTCCAACCCCACGGTGCCCGGGGGGTCGCCCCCTGCCGTGAGCTGGCGCGTAATCAGCTTCCACAGCGAAACGTGACGGTAAACCCAGTTATGACGACTCACTCCTCCACACGGGGGCTCAACCGGAAGTATCTTGTTTAGTGCGATGCAAAGTTAACTTTCAAAAATATCTGCCGTCTTTCTGAAACACAAGGCACCAGCGGAGAGCAGGCGTTCCAGCAGGAGCGACGGCCCGGGAAGACCCGGGGCCGCCCAGGGTCCAGGCCCGCCGGACGGCGCCGCAGCCCCGTCTCAGGCGCAGGCCACATCCTCCAGGTAGTCGGCCACGTCGCTGAGCTGCGACACTGTCAGGTCCTGCGTCCGGTCGTCGAGCTTGGTGTGAGACAAAGGGAGATCGGCGTCAGCATGGAAGGGGCTCACGCGTGGCTATGGGGCACCCTGCAGTGCAGACGGCCAGACCCCGCCCCCGCCCCTCCGTGGCTGCATCCCTCCAGGCCTCCCCGCCCCGCTTCCTATTGGGGACCTTGTGACCCACCACGAGGCCCAGCGGACAGCCAACTGCAAGGTTAAAGCTTGTCCACCTGAGCAAACAGCGCACAGAGGGGCGGGGCCCGGGCCCAGGCTCCATGGGCTCAGATGCGCTGTTTTCACAACAAACACCCGCCTCCCCGCAGGCCCCTCCTCGCGTGACATGGTCACTCGCGTGTCAGGTCACAAGCACTTCGAAGGCGGGCAGCCCCGGAGCGGGAGCGCAGCCCCACGGCGGCACCGCTCCCTGCAGCACCAACCCAGGATCTGAGACGCCCGCCCCCCCCCCCCCCCCCCCCCGCCCCCGCACGCCTGGGCGCACTCCGCTCCCGGCTAAGCCCGCAGCCCAGGCGCGTCTCCAGCACAGACTCCCAGGCCCACCGACTCCTACTCCGCACCGCCCTGTGCGGCACCGCCCCCCAGCCTCACGCCTCCTCCCCCGCCCCTCGCAGCGCCACCCCCTGGCCCGTGGCCGCTGAGCCAACTGCAGGGGTGCCCAGTAACAACGCCCAGACGTCCTGGGAACACCTCATCCGCCCCCAGAGGAAGCGACGATAAACACCGTCCTACGTCCTCACTGAAGACAGTCTCTCCAGACTCAGGCCGGTCCCTGTCGCCAACGCCCCATTCCCACCTGCTGCCCCAGCTTCCAGGACAGGCGGGCGGCAGCAGTGGCACCAGCCCGCCCAGGGCGCCCGCACCTTGTCACTGGTGTTGGCGTCGTCCAGCCCCACGGACAGGTCCTCCTCGATCTCCTCGCCGATGCTCAGCTCACTCTTCTCCGAGCGGTGGCTGGTGCTGGTTATGGGGAAACAGGCACCTTGAGCACAGGTGCGGGAAGAGCGACCGCCGCTCTCCAACCTGCCCTGTGTGTGACCCTTCAAAGGAAGCCGAGGAACACAGCCTGCAACGCTGGCCGTGGGCCCCCCCGCCCCCGGCCCAGGGCCGAGCTGGGGGAGGGTGGCAGGTACCGCCCACCGTCCAGGGCAGCAGAGGCTCCTGGGGACGGAGGTCCCGGAGCAGCGAGACGCCAGCAAGGGCCTCCCCGTCCCTGCTCTCGTACTGCGTCCTCAAGGAAAACACTGTGTGGGAAACCTTTTGCTGGAGAGAAACATCTCCAAGGTGGGGGCGGGGGCAGGGGGGCAACCTGTCAATCACAGAAAATTCCCAGACTCTGATTTAAAAGTTCTCATCTCCACAACAAATACTACATCCAAACTAGTAACGAGCCCACTCCCGGTGCACAAACGCTGAAGCAGAAACACAGCTGCAGAGGCAGAGGCCTCTCATTCCAAGGTGGCCGGGGCCAGCCCGACGTGGGGGGAAGGGCAGAAGGGCCCTCGCCCCGTGGCGGTCTCGTGGTCCTGAGGGCCCGCGCCCGCGCCCCAGCTACACGTTTGTCCCACTCTCGCCGGGCTTCCTCGACACCCACATCCCGACGCAGGACCACGGCCCAAGGGCCCACGAGTGACTCCAAACCCCCTTCCAGTCCCTTCGCTCAGCGCCAGCCAGGGGGGCCCGTCCACCGTAAGGAGCACCAGCCTGACTGTCTAGCAACCGCTCCCAACGGACCTCTTCGCCGCCCAGCCACTCGCCTTACCTGTTAAAATCATCAACGTAGTCGTCACCCTCTCCAGCACCTGGGGAGTTCAGAGAAAGATACACATTATATTTATAGAAACACACATCACAACTATCTACGATTAAACACACGTTTCCTTCCAAAAAACCAGTGAAAAATGTCACATTGTTACAAGTCTCAAAGGTCAGAAACAATACTTTCACCATAATACAAAAGCAAACGATAAAACCACCTACTTAGGAAACATTACGTCCTATCACAAGATGTAGTGAATAAATACACTCCTTTATTCCAAGTACTCAAAAGCTTAGTCACGTTGCATGTGCACCGCTGACGTTGCCATGCGAGAGTCAAACCAAACGGTGGATGCGATGGAACACCCCGGCCTCGGCGACCCCCGCCCCGCACCCCCCCGCGCCTCGGCCCCGCCCCCGGCCCCTGCCGTAGAGGCTCTCGACTCTGCCCGGCAGTCAGATGTGAACAGGCACAGAGCGCCCAGCGGCCGACCAGCTGGCACTGCATGCCCACAGGCCCGGCTGTCCCCTCTGCTGGCAGCGGTGACCTCTCCAACAGACGTCAGCACACGCCAACCCGGTCAGAGCGGACACCACGGGGAGGGACGCCTGCGGGCGGCGGGGTCCCGTGGCCTTGCACAGCGCGTCCCCAGCTGCCCCGCCTTCTGAGGGGCGGCAGAGGAGGGGGTATCGCCTCGCAGCAGACGTGGGGGGCCCAGGTGCAGGTGGCTGGAACGGGGAAGACACGGAGACCACGCATGGCCGAGAGAATAGCATGGACCCAGGGGGAGCCCAGCCCAGCCGCGGGTGGGCAGACGCCCCACTGCGCAGGCCCCAGGCCCCTCGAAGACCCGCCGGGCCATGTGGACGCCCCGGGCACTGTTGAGGGGTCCCGCTCTGAACAGGCCATCAGACAAAGCGGTCCTCCTCCGGCAGAGCTGCCTGGGGTACTCGTTTGTCCAGCTCAACAGTGACCACAGGGTCCCCTGGGGTCCAGCAAGGAGGAGAGGGCATCTCTGACCTTGCAGAGCTCAGCTCTGGCGGCGGGGCGGGGGAGGGAGGGGCGGCGAGCAGCTGAACACACTGGACGCTGGGAAGGCTCGGGAGCCTCTGTGAGGATGGCTGTGAGAGACCCCAAAGCAGGCGCCAGGCCCGTACACGACGGGGAAGCGTGGCCTGCGACGGGGAGGGTGCAGCGGCCGAGGCCTGGACACTGATGGAGGAGGGGCATGAAAGAGGACAGGCCCGTCTGCGAGGGCTGCCGTCTGTGCCAGACGCCCCGCCCGCCGCCAGGAGGGACCGCGGACGGACGTGCCTAGTGCCCGGACGCAGGTGCTGGGCGGGCGAGGACGGGAGGCGGGGCCCGGGCCCGCGCGCCCCACGCCCGCGGCGCCACCACAGCCTGCCCTGCCCTCGGGCCGCCGTCCCAGGGCCACGGGCGCCCGGCGCCCCGGACACGCTCAGTGCCACCGCCCAGCGGGGGCCTCTGTGGAGCGCGGGCCAGGGCCGGGCGCAAGGCCTGCCTCCCGCTTTCACAGGCGCGCGCACCACGCCCTTCGCCTCGCAGAGGGGCTGCCCCGGGTTTAGCCGCCACCCCCGGAGCCAGCTGTCCCGGAGCCGACCCGGAGCCCCCGTCGCTGGTCGCCGGTCGCCGCGGCAGCGGGTGCGCACCAGGCCCCTCAGCCAGCAAACGCGCGCTCCCGGAGGCTCCCTGGCGGCCAGCGGCTCCCGCCGTGAAGGCTCCACTCTAAGGCAGGACCGGCTCCGGCCTCCGCCGGGCAGGAGAAACCCGGTTACCTAGTCCAAGGGAGCCGAGCTTGTCATTGGCCAACTTCAGGTCTCTCAAAACTGTGTTCTCTCTCTTACCTGTGAAGAGAAGAAAAAATTCTCCTTAAACCAACAGAACACGATTGTCTGTAAAACACGTCACCTTTATTGTCATAGAGGCTTCTTTAAAGCTTAATAACTGAAAACGAGGAGAAAATGACAAACCGACGAATGGCTGCTTCCACTGCTCCCAGCACCGCCGGCCCCCACCCCCTGCCCACACCCCCGCGCGCCCGGCCCCCGCCCCCACCCCGGCCCCTCGCTGTTCACTTCCTGGGTCCTCAGCCACCCCTCCTCCCTGCCCAGCCCTGAGGGCGACGAGGCCCGTGGGGAGGAGGGAGGGAGGGAGGGAGGCGTGGCCACAGCCACGGCCACACGGCGGGGCGGCCGACGGTGGGGAGCAGCCCCAGTCCACCGTGTGTGCCACACAGACGGATGCAAAGCCACACAGTGACCTCCTAGAGAAGCTCCACTTCCTAGAAAACTTTCTCAAGATGGTACAGAGAAAACAGAACCCAGGCGACGGGAGGAAGAAACGGAGAGCTCGGAAGGCGGCATTAGCTGGAATGCCTCTGGAGGGTGGAAGCAGGAACAGTGTTTATGATTCACACACATGCTGCTGAAAAAAGAGGCAGCGGTCACAGACCACGGATCCGGTCAGAGAGGGGACGGCGGCCCTGAGCGCCCAGGCCAGAAGCGGGTGCGGGCGGCCCCCACACTCACTTTCTGCGTCTTTCCAGGACGGGGCTCCGGCGGCGGCGGCGGCGGCGGCAAGGGCGCTGCGTCCGCTCTGCAAGGGGGGCGCGTCCGAGAGCGAGGCCAGGCTTCCCCCGCGCTCCCCGGGGGCGCTTCTCCTAGCGCGAGATGAGGGCACGGGTCAGAGGCGGGGGCCCACCCGCCCGGAGCCCTGCGTCCCAGAACGCACCCTCCCACAGTCCCCTGTGACATCGGCTGGTCATCGTCCTCACTGTCCGTGACTCTGTCAGAAGCCCCTTGCGTTGCCCAGAAAGTCAGGCAAGGGACAGCGCGGGCGTGGGCGGCACAGGCCACCACCCCGCAGACGCGGCGCTGCCCAGCCAGCTCTTCGGCCCTCCAGGCCCGCCCCACCCGGCCCCCGCCCCAGGCCCCTCCTTCTGGGCCTCCCGTGCCGCCCCGCCTGGGGGCCCCCGCACACCCGGGGTTTCAGCAGCTGGGGTGTCCGGCCGCATACAAGGCCCCAGTGCCGCACACCCAGGCTGAAGAATTCCCTAAGTACAGAACCTTTAGCAGCTCATTAGTTTTTAAATGTAAATACTGGGTTGACCAAAAAGTTTGTTTAGCAAAAAAAGTGACACTTTCAGCATATTATGCTTTTGATTTCAAGAAAGGTAAAAATGCAGCTGAAATGCAAAAAAAGATTTGCGCCGTGTACGGAGAAGGGGCTGTGACTGATCGAATGTGTCCAAAGTGGTCTGCGCAGTTTCTTGGTCCTGTGGGCCTTTCGGCCGCATAACCCCCCGCGTGGGGCCGACTCAGGCGCTGGAGGGTGTTGAGCGGCTCCCCCGCCTCTGCCCACTGCAAGCCCACAGCGCGACACAGACAACGTGCTCCGAACATGCAAGTCCATCACGTTACTGGGGAAAGTGAGTCTTACTTTACAGAAAAGACTAAACGGACTTTACAGCCAACCCAGTACGACAGTTGGAAATCACGCTTTTAAGCCTCTCGGCCCCGATGGTCCCCCAAACACCGCTCACCAACCGCAGGCCTCCTCGGGCCTCGGGGCGGGGTCATCGAAGAACGAGTCCCCGTCCGTGTCGTCGTCCTGTGGGCCCAGCCCGGCCTCGTCTCCGCCGCCGAGGCTTTTGCTGTTCAAGAAGGACCCCGTTTTGGGTTCCGGGGCCGGGAGCTGAAGGCTGCTTTTGCCTTTTGGTTCTGACAAGGAGGTGCTGGTCTCGCTCGGACTGGCTTCGCTGCTGGCCTTCTGGAAGGAGACAGGGGAAGAGAGGAGGGGAAGGGAAACCTGAGTAAGATCTTTTCAATGACACAAGTCATGAACAGGCGCAAGTCTCAGTGCGTGTGCGTGCGGGCACGGACCCGTGTGCGCGTGCGGGGGACCCCCGCAGCGAAGTGCACGAGGTCGGGGTAACCCACAACCTGTCCCTCCATCCCCAGTCTCGGAGCACCGGTCACTTAAAGGGGGAAACGCTGAAGGACGGCGTTCGCCGCGGCCCTCTTCACCCTCCCTGACCCGCGAGCCCGTGCCCCGCGCCTGCATAGCTGCCCTGCGCCCTCCCACAGGTGCGGGCGTCACCGCCGCATGAACCGCACGATCCCACTGACGTTTCCCGCTTGAGATGGGAGGCGCCGCCGCTAGGAGAGAAGGGGGCTTCGTTCACAGGGACGGACAGAGGCGGCCCAAGCGCCACCGAGGGGAGGACGGCGCCTTCCCACGCGCGCTTCTCAGGGGACACCGCCGCCCGCGCGGCGCCGGCCGCCAGGCAGACCGCAGGGCAGCGCCCGGGCCCGCCCTGTCCCCACGCACATGCGGAGCCACCACGTGCCGCGTGCCCGCGGCCCCCGGCAGCGACAGGGGCCCACGGCCGCCTCCGCATCCCCACTCCTGCCCCAGGACCGAGGCGGCCCGCACGGGCACGGGGGGCGGGGGCCGCGCCAGAGGCCCCGCTCCGCACACCCTCCCGCCTCGGCCCTGCCTGCCGGCTGCAGAGCCGCCCGTGCCCGCAGCCGCGGACACGCCGCACGACGACAGCGACTCCGCGGGGGCTCGCCGTCACAAAACGCCCTCAAACGTGTCCCGCACGGGGGACGTCACTTTAACCCTCGACCCTCTGGCACGGGGTCCCGCACAACAGACGACGACCCCCCACTGAGGCCCTGCTCCCCGTGAGCGCCGTGGAGGCAGGCTCGTCGGGGGCGACGGGTCCCAGGGACAGCACATCCTGATGCCTCCTGAGCACAAGGCACAGCCTTCCAATAGCAAGAAGTCTGCTTTAGAACTACAGTTCTATTGACCCTCGGGGTAAAAGCACGCCGCCCGCTTCGGAACTGCCCTAGAATCAATTTCTAACCCACACAGGGACGTGTCGTTACCGCTTCACCACAAAGACCATCACCCAGCTGGGTCCACTGACGTGTTCGGGAGACCTAATTCCACGTAACGTTTACTGCTTTAAAAAAGCCCACGGGAAGAGGACGTTTGCCAACACAGTCTGCAGACGCACACAAGCGCCCAGCCACCCCTGGGGAGCAGCCCCCTTCACGACGCCCACGCCCTCGGAGCAGCCGCCGGTCCCCTCGCCGGCCCAGGGCCGCGCACAGCCCGCTTGGGGCTGAGGGCAGCCTTGTCCGCGCTCCGCCCGGACACGGCAGCCCCGGGGTCCCGTCCCCGCTGCGGGCACGCCAGAGCTAGGACTCAGGATGACTCCATAGCTGAGGCCGAGAACTGGTTAGAACAAAGACGTGTCGCAACAAGAAAAAGAACCCCCGACGACGCCTTAGAATCCTCTCCCCGGCCCACCGTGGGGGGCCCCCCGACGTTTGGGTCACACATCTCCTCCCAGAAGACAAACCGGGCCCTCGCCCCAGGACTTCCGAGCGGCCCTTATTCACAGCGGGGTCACGGCCGAGGGGGCTGGCTGAGGCCAGGCTCGAGCAGGACAGGCCCCCAACTGCACACGCCTGTGTCCTTACGAGGGAAGACGGGCACACGGGAGGGCACCACGGGAGTGTGACAGAGGAGACTCGCCCGGACAGCTGGGCCGGCAGCAGAGGGACCCGCCCTGTGGAGCCCCAGTCCGCACCTGCGGCCTGAGCGCCGTGATGACGACCCGCCTCTGCGGCTCGAGCCACCAACCTGCGGAACGTTGGCACCGCAGCCCTGGGAACTAACGGCGGTGTGGCCGTGAGTGGCCGCCCTCAGTAAAGCCGTTTACTGTAAAAGCTCTGCCTCTTCATGAGCGCGAGACCGGCTGCGCCGCACCGCGCGACAGCGGCCACTCGGGGCCAGGCAGCTCCGCACTGGGTTCCAGCGAGGCTGTAAGGAAGCTTTGGTATACATTTAACTTCCCACGGGCACAGTTACACACACACACGTTCTACCATTTCTAGATTAGCAGAAAATCAGCACCGTGGGGAGAGGGTTCACAGTGAAATTAACTACCAATCTCCCAGCAGCCAAAGACTTAAATTATCACTGGAATGTCTGATGAACCTCGAAAAAAGTAACTTTTTCCAAACTAAAGGCTGTTTTCTGAACTGCTTGTAACGGAGAAACATCAAAGACAAAGAAAGTTCTCCAGGTTTTCAGTTTTCAAAAGGCTCATGCAAATTCTCCTATCCATGTCTTAACCCCCACCCCATCTCCCCACCCCAAACCCACTAAAGGCAGGGTCTGACCCAAAACTTACAAATAAATTTAGAAAAGTAATTTTATTACACCTGTAACACACATCTAAAAGTGTAACTCATTCACCTATAAACACTGTAGAATTCTAGAACCACAATTCTAGAGCCCTTCTGAAAACTCAGTTCGCCTGGAGAAACTCTCCGCCCGCGGGCTGGAGGCCAGCCCACCGCCGCAGGAGCCCGGGCGAGCCAGGCCCCGGGCCTGGGACCGCACCGGAGACGCCCCCGCGCCCGCCCGGCCAGCAGCCCGGGGGCCCGCAGGCAAGGAGCGCCAGCTGGGAAGCCGTGGATCTGACCCAGGCAGGACCGGATGCCGGCAGGGAGGACGGTCAGCGCGGCGAGTGTGCTGCCCCGGGGGCGTGCAGGCCCCCGGCGGCGGCGTGCGTGCGCGCGTGTAGGAGGAGACAGCGCCCGGCTGCCCAGTGAACCCTGCAGGGGCCGCACAAGCCCGGGGACGCCCGCTCCGGACGCACACACCGCGACGCCCTTCGCGGCCCGACGTCCACCCAGAGCCGGGCCCATCCGAGGAGCAAGGGTTTGTGCAACAGCCCTTTTTTAAGAACTTGAAGAAAAATATCTCAATACTCACGAGCTTCAAAATGCCTGCCTGGCTGAAGGCTGACTACGGAACGCCCACCTTACACATTGCATTTCATGTGATGCGAAAAAGCAGCTTATGCTAAATATTAAAAACAAAAACGGAGTATCTCACTCAGTTCTCCAACTGAGTGGTAAAAACCCAAGTGGGCAGGGCCGACCAAAAAAAAGCCTGGTGTCATTTCTGATCCTTTCCCAGACAACACGGCAACACGGTTCACAGCGCAAAGGACACTCCAGGCGGCAGCGCTGGCGAGCACTCACAACCGCTGCTCATGGGGAAAGTGCTCTCGTCTACGTCTGCCCCTCACTGATCACAAGAACAAAACCCAGAGACACAACTTTTATTTTACCCAAGTTAAATCGGCTTGAAAACCTCAGCTTCTCCCTCGTTTTGTCTGACAGGCTCACAGCCCTGAGCACACGTCAGGCTCGTGTGCCCACGAGCGACTAGGTCCATTTGCAGCGTGAACTTCGTGTCCTGGAAACAGCTCTGATCGAGCACTAACGCCCGCACCTTCAGCTCAGGAAGGAGCAACCACCCTCCGGCGGCCCTGCTGGGTGCCCAGGCTCTCCTGCTGCCCCCCCGCCCCCCACGTCCCGCAGGGCAGGCCGGCTCGGCCACCAACACCCAGGGCCACGCGGGGGCCCTGCCAAGTCAGTGTGCTCCCAGCCCAGCCGCACGGGGAGGGCGCCCCCTGGAGCCCGCCTGCCGAGCGCCCCTCCATGGCCCCTCGCAGCGGGGTGCGGGGAGGCCACGATGCCAGGGGGGGGTTGGCAGGACCGCGGGAGCAGCCGCAGGCGCGAGGCAAGGCGGGAAGGCTGGGGGCGGTCCCTCCGGGGGGCTGGAGCCACAGGCTCCCTAAAAGCCAGAGGCAGGGGCAGGGGCAGGGGCAGGGAGGAGGGCGCCACGGGGCCGCCAAGCATCCGGGGCCCCACGGCCTCCTCAGGCCACGCGGTCCAGAGCGAGGGCCCGCCCGCGGAGGAAGTTGGCGGCCGCGCTGCCCCGTGTGCTTGGTTTCCGCGGGGCCGCTCCCTCCAAGTGTCTGATTCTCTCTAAAACCCAGGACGCCAATAAGACTCGAAAATTCATTACTGTGACCCATGCTCTGAATTTTCTAAAGAAGTCCAAGAAACTGATGGAAAGCACCCCGACCAAAACGCTGTTTTATGTTTCTAATTCTCGTTCTTCAGGTGGGGCCCCGCCGCTGAGGGTGGGCTGCGAGCCGCTCGGGCCAGGGACTTACCAGCAACTTCCTCTACGGAAGCGTCCAACGTACCTGCTTGGGAACATTTTAAACACCTTCTCACATGGTAGGGCGTAAAAAACAGCGTAAACACACACAGCAACAGAAAGTCACGGTTGAAAGCCACGGGAGGAAGCAGCCACCACAGCACACGCAGCCTCAGACGCCCTTTAATTCTGGAGGCCCGCGGCCCCTCATGTGAACTGCGGCCCAACAGGACTGGCGAACCTCACAGAATTAAAGGTTCAATGAGCTTATCTCATTCTAAACAAGTGTAAGAACCAGCTGGTTAATAATGCTTCTAAGACCTCTAACATTTAAATTTTAAAAGGAGTTAGTCTACGAGCTCGTGAGCTTTGGGGAGGAAACAAAAGCAGCCAAGGCACCAGTGGCCGCCGCCGGCTCCTGCGCCCCCCACCCCGCGTGTCCCCGCCGGCCACGGCAGCCGGGCTGTGAGGACGCACCAACGGGCAGTGGTTTCACAGCTGCTGAACCCAAAAACGTCCTGCAGGAAACTATTCGGTCTTTAATTCACCGACTAGGACGTACAAACAGTAAGAGGATGTTCTGCGGATCTTGGATTAAAATCATATTGAGAATATGTACATGACCATCCGTTCAAAAAATAAGTATTTTCAACTTTTTTGTGGTCAAAAACCAAGGAACCCTGAAAATGAAACTGACAGTATAGTTTAAAAATGAAACAATGTGATTTTCACCTGGATAAAAATGGACGGTCAAATCACATTTTGTTTTAGGCCCCACGACTCTGTCGTGTTCTGACGACAGATACAAAGAATGTCGTTTTGAAGGAGCGGCGGCGCGGCCAGGAGGCCCGCGGGCCGGCGGGGCACGGGCGGCCCCCAGCTGCTCTGCCCTCGCCCTCACGCGCGTTACCTTGGCAGCCGACTCCTGCCCGCTGGGCTTCTTCTTACCTTGGCCTCTATACCTTGGGATCTGAGCGTGGGAATAAAATGACAGTTTACCACACAATGTCAATCTTTAAAAATAAACCAATTCGTAACTAAGCTGAAAAGGATGCCTATCAATGTCTTAAAAACTGAGATATTATGTTCCCTTCTGAAACCCACTTTTTGACCTGAACTCCCTCCCTCCACAGCTCCAGGCTCGCACCTCAGGCGGCGTCTCCGGCTCCACCTGAGACCTCTGCTCCTCGCGGAGGCCAAGCAGGCGCTGGCCCGAGGGCCCCGTGCTTCCCGCAGGCCTCGGGCCGGGAGGCCTTGCGGGCCAGGCCCTTCCTTCTGGAGCCCCGGGGGGGTCAACGACCACCCAGGGAAAGAGGGGGCTGGCGTGCACGGGGAAGGAGATGACCAGAACCCCAAATGCAAACCCATCAGGTGCAGGGAGAAGCGCGCCCCAGCCCAGGCCAGCACAGCTGGGCTCCAATGATCCAGACACGGCCGCGGCCGCACAGGCCCGGCCAGGCCCCAGCGAGGGCCATCCGACGGCAGGGAAGCGTGGGGCCGCCCGCAGGCCTGGTGCCCCCTCCCTGCTGGCTCCGGCAACCGCCAGCCCCACTCCAGGACCGCGCAGAGCGGCACTGCCAGCCCCTCGCAGCACAGCAGGCGCGGGCGGGACACAAGGCCACGGCGCACCCAAGGGCGCTGTCTAGCCACGCCCACAGAAAACAGGTGCGGTTTTGATTCATTCACACTGGGCGGCTTGTTGTGTTGGCCGTGGTCATTTTTTTATTGGACAATCTCAGGAAGAAGAGATCAGTGCCCCTGAGTCGACAGGTGCTGCATGTTTTAAAAATGCATGCGGTGCATGGGCTGAAAATCGCTGATTTAGGGCAACATGTCCCAACTGACTCAAAACCTCAGTCTCATAATTCTTAAGTCTAGGAAAAAAAAATGCAAAGAAAATTATGTGTAAAATAGACATTAATATTTCATCTTGCAGACATACCATCTGTGAAAAGTATCATTAATCTGCTTTAAAACACAATTACTGGCTAAAAAGGAATCTTCCAAATTGCTCGGCGCGCTGGGCACTAGTAAGTATTTTGGAACAGGTGTCAGCTGCGGCCCCTAGAACGCCGAGCCCCTTCCAAAGGCGCTCGCTCCCCCTGGGCGGTCACCGCGGGGGCCCTGACTCGACTCCAGCGGGCCCCGTCCGCCGCCCCCGCCAGGAGCAGCAGGAGAAGGCCTCCAAGGACCCGCCTCCCCTCGGAGCAGGCCCTGGGCTCAGAGAAGGGGAGCCTGCGCCACAGCCCAAGAGCCTCCCTGCTCGGCTGGGAGCGCCGCACCCGGTCCCTCCCGTCTCCGAACCACAAGGACAGAGAGGACCGACGAGGTCCCACCACGGCAGGGGCCGCCCCCGGGGCCCGCCCAGGTCACAGCGGCCCCCACATCCCCACCCCCCGGTCCCCGGGTCTCACTCTGCAGCACAGCGTGTGGGGCCAGCAGCCGGTCCCCACACGCCCGCACTCCGGGGGACAGTGGGCTCCGGCGGGTCCCTGACGGCCGCCATCCCACCCATTCCTGCCACTGGCACAAGCACCTCTGACTTGAAGTTCGGGGGCCCCGCTCCCCTCCTCTGCCCCTCACACCAGCCCCGGAGCCCACAGGCATCCACGGGGACAGCTCAGAAACCACACGGGTTTCCTCACAGATTTTCAAAGAGGCTCCCTGATACAAAACTCACCATGACCTACAACTCCAGACCTGTCACCCAGCTGTGACATTCAACGCAACATTCTACACCCTGGAGCCTGCCACCTACAGGTGAAAAGAAAGGAAACCTCCTTGTTCAAGGAAGGGAACAAGTGTTCTAAGTACCAAATGAGCCCCCATTCCACAATTCTGTATTTAACAGCATGTTTGTTTCCGTGACACAAAATTCAACCAACTGCCAGTAGAGCAAAATAGTTCATTTTCAAAAATATGTCATCCAAAGGAAAAAAGCACTGCCAGAAACTGAGCAGCACCTGCGACACAACCACCGCCCAGCGTGGGGCGAGCAGCAGGGGGGGAGACCCGGCGGCGGGGCCCCGGGCCGGGCGGCCGCCAGCCCGTGCCACTCACCTTGCTGGGGCCCGCATGTGCGCTGGCGCTGCCGTCCGGCGACTTTGGTGGCGAGTGCGCAGCAGCCGGATCTAGTGTCCCCTGAAACATTCATTTAAAATGGAAACACTTAAAAATAACACCAGACTAACCCCGCGACAGAACTTCAGCATTTAAAACCGCCGTCTACGCCGACACGCTGGCTGCGCCCAGGTTCACGTCGCCGCCCTTGCCAGGGGCGCTCCTAACGTTTACTTAGGAAAGCGGGGTCCGCTCAGGCCCCGATTCCCCGCTAGGCGTCCAGTCGGTCAGTGCACGCCCGGGAAGCTGCGCCCTCCCCGCCTCCCCACCAGCGGGCCTGGCCCCCTTCCCGGTCCCGCGTCCCCGCAGACGCCGCTCCTCCCCCTGGGCGGGCGGCCCGGCCCGTGCGGCTCCGGGGGACGTGGGGCTCTCCAGAGGGCAGCGTCGCCTTCCTTCCCCCACCACTGTCCTCGCACCTCTCAGGACACCTCGCACAGAACCATCCAGAACCATCAGGCAAACGGAGGGGCTCCTCGGGGGCTGGCAGGCCACTCCCTGGCTGGAACCAAGGGGCCGGAGGAACAGCGGCCACACAGACGAGTGTGGGAGGCAGACAGACCGGGGACGCCTGACCTGTGCCGCTTCCGCTTTGTCAGCAGGACAGATAATAAAGCCGGTTTCCGCCCGGAAGCTGCAGGGTCAGCCAGGCAGGTGTGTCCAGGGCGGAGCCTGACACTCTGGCTGAGCCGGGGGAGAGGACCGGGCAGGCCTCAAGGAGCCGTCCCCACAGTGACGGTGACAAAGCCACAGAGAGCGGGAAGGGTCACCCAACGCCCAGCGTCGTGGCCAGGGCTTCCCGCACCGGCGCCTTCAGCCCTCCCGGCAGCCCCGCCAGGCGCCTCGTGCCACCTCCCTGCACAGGCGAGCAGCCTGAGGCCGGCGGAGGTTCGGGGTCGAGGGCAGCCCTGCACGGGGCGCGGCCGAGCCGGGCGCGAACCTCAACAGCCTGGCTGCGCAGCCCAGGCTGGTGCCGGGTGCTGAGGGAGGGAGAGCAGACCAGGGAGGAAACGTGGGCCGTCACCATGCAGGCGGCCCCAAGGGCCACTGGACGGGGGGCGGGGGGGGAAGGAAGGTGGAGAGGCAGGGGCCAGGGCGCCGGAGGCCACGAGGCGTCCCCTCAGCCCGCCTACTCAGGGAGGCAGACAAGCCTTCAGCGTGAGCGACAGCGCCCCCTTCCACTAAAAGTTGCTCGCGCGCCTACAGCGAGTCATCTCTCGCACGGTGACTCCCCTGTCATCACAAACCATCACTTGACTGTCCACTTCCTTAGGAAAGCATCTTATCTTGACTGGCTCTCCACTCTTCCAGAGCATGTAATTTTCCTACATTTTATCTTTTAATTAAGAGTCGATTTATCACGCCCTGAGTACGCTGTCAAGCTCGGCCGATTTTCAAAGGTTCTAATAGGAGGCGTGCCCTGAGGCTCCCCAGGTGTCGCGACCGGCAGGCGGCCCCCAGCCCCCGCGTCGGCCCCCGCGAGCGGGCGCCCAGCGCGCACGTGCGACCAGCTGCCCGACCGCTACGATGCAGCCCGCGCCTGTGAACGGCGCACCGTACACCTGATGAACGCAGGCTGAAATCACACCATTAATCGCATTGACAGTCCTTCTAAAAAGGGTAAGAGTAAAAAAGGTAACGGCTAACCAAAAACACAGAAATTTGAAAATGTTTAGAACCTAAGCAAAATTAATAGCTTATACAGCTTTAGGTGTAGTTTTAAAAAGCCTTTCAGTTTAAAACTTAACTAACCTACACGTTAGTCTTTTGCATTTAAAACAGCGGTGAAGTGACAGCCAGCGGACGGGGCCCAGCGGCCCAGCGGCCTCCCCCTCGCGACGGTGGCCCCGGGCCCCGCCCACAAGGGGCGGAGGCGCCGCTTCGGAGCGGGGCGGGGGGAGGGGGGCCCACGGAAGGGGGCGGCGGCCGCAGAGCACGCACGTCTCCAGCGTCCGTTAAATGTGCGCTCCTGCCACTGCGGGGCGCCCCCCTCGGCCTCCGCGGAAGCCGGACCCCCGCGCACGCGCGGGTCTCGGGGCTGCGCACGCACCTGCCCCGCGGCCCCGCCGCTGCCCTTCTGCTGGCAGCGTCTGATCACTTCCAGCAACAGGGGCGCCCCCACAGCACCTTCGGCCTCAGCGATGCCCAAGTCCCGAGCCAAATTCTCTCGCCCTTCCAGGCCTTGAAACTAGGGAAGAAAGATGGGAAAGTGAGCTTTAAGTGCACAAATACACAACATTATTTTCAGAGTTTAAAGGAAAATATTTTCAGAACTTAAAGACATCTCTGAACTCAGAGCCTGTTTTCCCAGTGAGTGAACTGTCCACCGTCCAGCAGGCCCGCGGGGCGGGACAGGGGCCCAGCACCCGCCCTGTGTGAGGACGCCTCTCCCCGCTGGGGAAGCGGCCGTGCAACATCAACACGCAGGATGCAAGGCCCCAACAGGAGCAAACTTCTACTGGGCATTTTGCACATGCCAAGTGCAAGAGTCAATTGTTTTAAATTACATTTTTCTGTGACCAGTCTCTACGTTCAAAGTCTACATTAACAGGTTGGTTTAACATCATAACAAGTCAACTTTACAACAGCACTCCCTTCAAGTTAAACAACACAGGGACCCTGGTGCCAGCGGACGGCTCAGCGTGTTGAAGGAAAACAGGTAACTGCACAAATCACCTCCCTGCAAGACAGTCCACGTAGTCAAGTGCTGACCCCCAGCTTATTACAAACGCATCTGCATCAGAGGCTTCAAAGGCGATGGAAAATCGTCGTTCTTACTGTGCTAGTTTCAGGTTGAAACACGGCCAAAGTGAAGTCGAGGTTAAAGAACTGAAGGAATTCTGCCACCAGACTAGCCACCAGCCGGCCTGCGGGGAGGGAGAGAGAGGTAGCGAGCCCGTCCGCGGGAGGGGCGGCCTCCCCCGCGGCCTGGGGCGGCAGGGCACCCCGCAACAGGGGCACAGTCCTCCGCTATTAACGGCGAGTTCTCTGAACGGCCAACAAAGTGATGGAAACCCCGGCCTCCCCGTTTTCTCATTAGGCCCCCAACTCAGGAAGTGGCCACCAGGCAGTGTGACACTTCGTGACAGGCCAGAGCGCCCTGCGTCCTCCAGCAACACTGGTGCTGTCCTGCAGTTTCCCAGGACCAAGAGCGTGTGGAGCAACCCACCAGCTGTCTAATGAAACGTGACTTTAAAATAAGGACCTATAAGAATCACAGACTTCAAAACATGGCCTGAAATTCCTGCGTTCTCCAAAATGGAGTCAGGATTTGAAAATTTAGACAGATAAATGAACAAGAACAAGCTGAATATCTTACCATCTTTTGTATTTAAAAACTTCTTCAGGCTTTCATTGACTAAAGGAGTTTTGTTCTGTTGAAAAGATGAAAAGTGGTTAAGTGTCATGTGTTTATCATAAGAAAACTACAAAATGTGGATCAAAGTGTAATTTTTTGGCAAAGATATAAGTAAAATATTGTCACCCATAAAATTATGGTTAACCCATTTCCACACCTCCTGATTACTAACAGAATGGTTTGTACTACGTAACACCTCACCAAGTTAACAAAACCACATATGATTTCCATTTTTGTATGTTTTATAAATTGCTTATTAAACTGCTTTAAAAGCCAGATCGTCAAATACTCATGTGAAATGACATTAAATTTACTTATAAAAATACCTGATCATTATTTCAACTACATGAAGTTTGACAGTCATTTTATCCATCACTTGTGACATGCTCACGACGAACACTTGAATCACACACGTGATTCAAGCCCAGCCCGCTAGCAGCAGGCAAGATGACTTCATGCAGCACACCGGCCAGCTTGCTTTTGTCCTTAGACACTCCTTTCAACAAACAGAACCCACTTCCGGCACATCGAGGCCTCATTGGGCAGACCCCGTGGTTGCAGGCGGAGTGGCGGGCTCATGCGTGGCGGAGGTGACGTGGTGCAGCCCCTCTGGAGGGCAGTCTGGGATGCTTTAACAAGTTGAAGATGCCCTATCATGTAATCCACCCCCAGGGGTTTCCTCACGAGCAAAGCAAGCACAGATCCCAGCAGCAAACAGGCACCTCAGGTTCACAGCAGGCGACCTTATCAGAGTCCAAAACTGGGAAGCCCAATGCCCACCACCAGGTGAACAGCTACAGGCTACCTGCTTCTTACTACGGAACAAGACACAGGAACCCAATGGAATCATCTACTAAAACCACCAGGCAAACGAATCTTAAATTTATTATGCTAAACAAATGCAGCTGGACCAAAAGAAAAACCCAAAGAGCACATACACGCGGTCCCACTCGCCTAGCTGCTCCAAACACTGGGCCGCGTGGGTTGGGGGCAGGGGTGACACACGGGTGTGGAGGGGCAGAGGCAACTCCTGAGCGTCGTGGATATTTTCACTATCTTGATTGCTCCACGGATGCATATGAATATGAATATGGTATCAAATTATACGTGTCTAGTCTATTGACTTTATTGGTCAATTATACCTCAATTAAGTTTTTTTTAAACTCAAAAAAGACGAGGGTAAGGACCACAAAGGTCCTCAGTAGGCTGGTCTAGGAAATTTTAAGACGCCGAGTCGACTGAAACATTTGAAGAAAATGGAGGGGGAGGCGGAGCATGCACTGTGAACAGACTGCCTGGGGCAACCGGTGGGGGCAGCAGCCACAGACGGCAAGGAAGGCCCAGCAGCCTGGGCACGAGCTCACGGAGCAGAGGCCGCGGGGCAGCCAAGCTCCTCGGACGCCTCAGGACAGAGCGGGCAGACGGAGCCCGACGGGGCGCGTGGAGACAAGGGCAGGGCCTCTCGGGTCCCCTGCCTGGCCGAGAGAGGGTCCCGGAGGTAAGACCAGGAGAGCAGGCAGGGCGACAGGCAGGCCTGACACTCAGGAGGGCGGGGCGGACCGGAGGTACAGGGCTGGTGCTGCCCGTGCGGTCCCAGTCCCTTAGGGCGAATGACAACCACGGGACACCGCCCCGGGAATTTCAGTGAGGGAAGCAGGACAGAGATCGTGCTGGAGAAACCCAGGAGTGGTCAAAAAAAAAAAAAAAACACACAACAGAAAAAATCCCAAGTCAAAGGAGATGTTCAGGAAGGTGGCGGGAATTCAGAACGTCCAGCGCCATAGAGAGTAACTTCAGTAAGACAGACCCAAGATACGCTCAGGATTCTTGTTGACCCGGTAAAATAAATCACTGAGGCGCAGGAGCAAGGGACTACGAGACGATCATGATTTCAAGGCTGCCTGGAACCTATGAGGTTGTTTAAGACACACACTTTCAAAACCAGTCCGGGAAGGAAAAGCAGGGCGGTGTTAAGGGCAAAACCCATGTCCAGGGAACCTGCTTCCAGGCGCCAGAGACGAGCCCCAGCAAGGCCAAGGCGAGCGGCTGAGCGTCCTGGGCAGGCAAGCCCATGGGTGCCCGCCGCGCCGGGTCCCGCAGGGCCCCCCCCACGGAGGCGGGAGGAGGGGGCTCTGCCTGGGGGTGGGCGCAACGCAAGGGCCTGCTGCTTCTGCGACCCCGGAAAGACAAGACCCACAGTCAAGAATGCGGTGGAAGGACTCGCGACTGTGGCGCCCACCGTTCAGGGCCACCAGCACGCGCAGGCCAGGGTGACTGCTTTAGCACACGTGCAGCGCGAGTGGGACAGGGAGTTGGTGTGATTTCAACCCCCATTCGGACGTATTTCCAGACCCAGTGGGGCTTTAAGGAGAGGCTCGGCAGCGTGGGCCACGGGGTCCGGATCAGAGAGAGGCAGCCAAGAGGACACCGATGCCGGACAAACACAGAAGAGCCAAGTCGACAGGCTCCACAGAGGCTTCGAGGTCTCAAGAAGTGACAGCAGAGAAGGCTGGTTTGCCCCAGAGGGGGCTGAAGAGCATGAAGATGGGGCGATTCCTGTGGCCAAGTTCCAGGCTCTTCACTCAGGATGGTATAAGCACTTGGGGTAAAGAGAAAAACTAAATACTCAAAATACAGAGAAGCGGACTTTGACAATAAGAAAGATCATGTGATTTGGAAGCAAGTAGATGGGCTGACGGTTTTGGGAAAGGTGTCCTGCTCGCTCCACTCCCCCACGGAGCGGGGTTCACAGTGCACCCCGCATGTTAGCAAAGGTTCCCAGGGATCCCACAGAAAACTCAGACAATGGCACCATTTCTTCACACCAGTCCCATAAGCTGTGTTTCAGAGTTTGCCTACAACCGGGATCTATGATAATCAAGACTTAGTATTGGCCTCAGACCATTGCCAAATTCTGAAATATTCACGAAAAGAATAATTTTGGCTCTCTCCCTATAATAATGTAATGCTTAATAGTTCAAGATTATCCCTGTTTATACACTACAATAAGTAGTATTTTAAAATGGTTAAATAATCAGAAATTCAACATAAGTGAATGGAGTCACATTTAAATTTGTAAATTTCATACCTCTATTTTTTCTTGCTCCTCTAGCGCTAAAAACACAGCTGCTCGGAGTTCGGCCTTTAAAAATAAAAAAGGGTAATGGAACAAAAACTGCTTCCAGACAGTTCTCATGGCAAGTAAAGCACACACACAAGTTCCCCGGGTTTCATCCACAACAGCGAAGCCCCAAGCGCAAACCAGCAGGACAGTGACGCCGGCGGGCAGGTGCGGCGGCCAGACCGCAGCCTGCGTCCCCGGCGTCCACCGCCGGCGCAGCCCGGCTCCCCCGATCACGCCCGCCGGACCCACCGCGTCTAGAAGCCGGTTCCGAGAACACGCCGCCGCCCGTGCGGCAGGGGACCCGGGACCTGGAGTGACCCAGACTCATGCCCCCGCCCGCGGCCCCGGCCCCGCCCCCGCCCGGGCGGTCAGCCCGACGCGCCCCCGGCCCTTTGTGGCGCCCGCCGTCCACCCAGGGCCCCGCGGCCCGCAGCTCGGCCGGCGTCCCCTCCGCCAGGTCGCCGGCCTCCCGCCCCACCTTGATGCGGTTCAGCACCCCGCTGTTCTCCAGCGTCTGCACCAGCAGGTCCCGCAGCTCCGTGTCCTCCTCCGCCACCACCGGGGCCGCAGTCGCCGCCATCTTGCTTCTCCAAGACAACCGCCCAAGCCACGCCAACAGCCAACGCCGCCCGCGCCGCAGATCCCGCAGGGCGGGCAGGCCGAGACCACGCCCCCAGTCCCAGCGCGCAGCCGCCCTCACGCCGGGGCGGGGCCTCGGGGCGCAGGTGGACGTGGGGGCGGGGCCTTGGGCCTACGCCAGGCGCTGGGCCAAGGACGTGGGGGCGGTGCCTGCGCGTGGAACGGGGAAACCTGATTCCACGAAAACAGCTCCACAGTGAGTGACAGAGCAAGGCTGCGAGCACAGTCTCATTGCGCAGCAACGCAACAGTGATACGGCGTGGCGGGGAGGCCGGCAGGGCCGGGGGCCGCGCTCCGGCCAGGCCCTTGTGCAGTGAGGCGGCGCGCTCTGCTGTGCCCCCAGCCGGCTTCCGTGACCAGCTCCTGAAAAACGCAGTGTGCAGTGGACAGGGCGCGCCCCCTGCCAGAGGGTCCCTGATTGGTCAGAGCAGAGCCGCTCTGATTGGTCGAAGCTGCGCAGCTCCCGCTGGAAAGCGTCAGTCTTATTGGTTGAACTAGTCGAGGAAACCTTTATAAGGGCCCCACGTCTGGAGCGCGGGGCAGGCGGTGGGCCAGCGCGGGAGTCTCTGAGTTTGTGGTTTGCAAATGGCTGCGAGGCTCTCCTTTCTGTGTTTGTGGTTTTTTTAGCCACCAGGAGCCCTTCTAAGTACGTGGGTCTTCTTCTTTTTTCCGTTTTACCGGTTCCCTGTAGCCCGAGTTGACTGACTCGTGTATTCCAAAGACAAGAATACGTTTCTAGCTGGCATTCCCCCCAAATCTAATGTCCTTTTCCACTTTAGGTTTTCAGTGAAGTATGTTTAAAGCATGGCTATAATGTATAAGACATCAGAAAATAGATTCTTTATAATTATTCGAACTTGCGATAAAAATATTTAGGTGGTAACTTACAAACGCATTCACAGGTTTTCAAAACTATTCTAGAAGTGTGAGAGCACAGCCCTTTGAAGTCCACCGCATGCGTCACGTCAAATGCCATCCGTGCTTGGCTTGGCTTCTGAAACTGGGTCAGTGGTAGGTGTCCGGGCATCTGAAGCCAGAAGGCTTAGTGGGGGTGTCCAGTCCACGGCCCAGCATGGCTACGCATGTGGCCCAACACAAAAATCATAAATTTACTTGCAACATTATGAGATTTTTGTGTGTATGATTACATGTCACCGTATATTTAATGTGTGGCCCAGAGATGCCAAAAGGTGGGACACCCCTGAGAGAGCTTTGGTTCTCAACTGGGGTGACCTTGCTCCTTGGGGGGCATTGGCCACGTCTGGAGACACTTGGTTGTTGTAACTGGGGGGTGGTCCTGGTGTTTAGGGGGAGAAGCTGGCAGTGCTGCTGGACATCTTCCTGCGCTGGCCTGGCCCCTGCCCCCACCCCCAGCAAGCGCTGCAGGCAGGCCCATGGGAGGACCACCCAAGTGTCTGTAGTGCTGAAAAACGAACCCTGATCCTCGGTCAATTTCATTCACTAAGCCATTTCAAAAATCATTTTAATGTTAAAAAGCTACTTTATGAAATAAAATTTAAACTAAAACAACAGAATTCAAGAAAACAGCTCCCGTCCCGGTGTCCTTGATAAGGACGTCTAATCTTGACCCTGTGCCCTCAGGTGTTTAGCAGCCTGCCAGAGAGCTCAGGTGTGCGCGGCGCAGAGCCCTCGTGGTGCCTAGAGCACAGCGGGACGGTATGCAGACAGGCTGGTCTCTCGGGCTTCAGTCTGCAGAAGACACCTTTTCAAAAATGAGTGAAGGCAGGCCCTGGTCGGGTAGCTCAGTTGGTTAGAGCGTCATCCTGATAACACCAAGACTGCAGGTTCGACCCCCAGTCAGGGCACAGGTAAGAAGCAACACTGAAGGCACAAATTAGTAGAACAAATCGACCTCTCTCTCTCTGCAATCAAGAAGTAAAATAAAATAAATCCTTCCATTTTGTACAACTTCTTGGAGAGCCTTTATTAACAAACAAACAAACAGTGAAGTTAGCCTATCACTTAAAGGAAAACAACTCACAGTATTTGTTGCCAAAGGTAAAATCAGAGTTTCCAAGAGGAAATTTGGAAAGCTGGTGCCAGCCACGTCACGGGCCCTCAAGAGCTCCCCAGTATGCAGGGCGTTCAGGCCGGGTTAGGGGCCTGTTGATGAAGGTGAACTGCTGCTGCTGTAGAGAGACGCGTCACCACCGGGAGACCGAGGATAAGTCGGTGAACCACGACTTCCCAAGGACACATTCCTGCTGCTGCAAGTCACACGTGCTGCGGGCGCCTCCGCCAGCGCCATGACAACCAGCCCCAGACTCAGTGGCTTGAAATAGTACGGCTAGGTCACCCCGCCGCTCTGTGGGTCCGAGGGCTGACGGAAGCCTCCCAGGCAGAGGCTGGTGCTGCGTCCCGCTGCATAAAATTGATTACGATATTTTTGTATGTTATATGTATTATGTACTGTGCTCTTACAAGAAAGCTAGAGAGAAGAAAATGTTGAGAAATCATGAAATATATTTACAGTTTATTGAAAAAACCCGTGAGTGCGCCTGTGCAATTCAAACCATATTGTGACAAGATCACCCCAGTACCTCTAGTTGACACCCTCCCCACACGTAGTGACACATTTCTTCCCTGGGATGAGAACTGGTACAATCTCCTCGCTGAGCGGCGTTGGGATGACCGGTCCGGTATTGTCAACGCCAGCCACCACGCCGCACATCCCAATGGGACTAGATCAGAAGCGCGGGAGGAGCGGCAGCTCCCCGCGGCACTGAAGACCCGAGGCTTCAGCGGGCGCGGCGAGCGGCTAGTCGGGGGCACGTGGGACTTCGGTGTTCTCGGCCCACCTGACAGGGCCCGCGGCTGCCTTGGCAGTCGGATGCTTACGGGCTCTGGTCCTGCTGCTGGCCTGGCCAGGTGCACCTCCTCGCCTTCCCCACGACCCACTTTTTTAACTTGCGCCTCCCCTGCCCTGTTTGATGTTGGGTAACATTAACAGGTACAGCAGGTTGGTATCAGAGACGAACCAAATGACCACAACAGGGCACGGGCTTCTTAAGAAATGGTGACAGCCCAGGCATGGTGAAGCCTGTGTAAGCCAATTAGGACACGCTGACTCGTCCGCAGCGGCCCAGGTGAGCTCTCCTGGGCTTAATTGGCCTCCCCGGCCGAAACCGGCCCCAGGCAAAGGGCAAATTACCTTAATGACTAGCTGCAGTTGGAAGATGCAGCACATAGCATTTAGACTAAATGGAGCCCCCTTTTTAATCTGTGGCCAATTAAACACTTGAAAGGAGATTAAAGGGAGATGCACAGATGTCCGAAAATAAGATAAAATAAGAAAGCCCTTTCATCCTAAATTTATTCATGAATGACAGTATAAACTCATGATGTATTTTCCCTAAAAAAAAAAAAAAAAAGACAAATGGACAAAAGAAACTTCTGTCCTAGCTTTGGAAAGGCCTAGAAGCAATGACTAACCCCGTAGCAATGAGGACCGGGACTCTTGTCTCTTAAGTGTAAATTTTCACCAGGAGGACCCAGGGTTCCTTTAACAGAATAAGGTGGCAATAGCAATGTATATACTGACTGGTGTGGAGTTTGGGGTGAACCTGTTATAATACAAAAAAGTTTGTGTGTTTTGGGTTTTTTCTTTTTGTTTGTTTGTTTTTTGCTTGCCCTGGCTAGCGTGGCTCAGTGGATTGAGCACTGGCCTGCGAACCAAAGGCTCGCTGGTTCGATTCCCACTCAGGACACCTGCCTGGCTTGCAGGCCCAGGTCCCCAGCAGGGGGTGTGCGAAATGCAACCACACATTGATGTTTCTCTTCCTCTCTTTCTCCCTCTCTTCCCTTCTCTAAAAATAAATAAACAAAATATTTTTTTAAAAGGTTTTATTTTTTTTTTAACTATAAAAGGGAAATTTTATCAAGAAACCCTGGAATTAGAGCACCAAACAACACAGCAGCAAAACACAGGCGGGACCGCGCCGGGGCGGGCGCGGGCGGGCTGCGCGGTTGCTGCGGCATTGGACCAGGGGCCCCTCGAGTCCTGTGAGCCTCCTCGGTGTCAGCGCTGGCCTGGCCCCGGGGGCGCCACGCCCGCCCGCCCATCATAGACCCCCTCTCGGCTTTTCCTCCAGCGATGCAGCTTCCGCTCAAGGCCAACGTCCGGAGCCACCGTGGGGGACAGGGGGTTGTGAAATGTTAGTGTCATAACAATACTATCATTCCTCCTTTTAAAAAACATGTTATTTATTTATGTATTTATGTATGTATGTATTTATTTTAGAGGGGGAAGTGGGGCAGAAAGGAGGGAAAGAAACATCGGTGTGAGAGAGAAACAGCCATCGGCTGCCTCTCGTCTGCGCCCCAACCAGGCACCCAGGCCCCCTGACCGGGGTTCAACTGTCCACCTTCGGTTTTGCAGGATGATGCCCAACCCTCTGAGCCACACCAGTCAGAGTCCTTCTTCATTGTTTAGGTGGAATTCCGCCATTTTTTAGGTGGAACTCTTCCTCACCCGTTGTCGGATGAGCCCGGGGCGCGCCCCGCAGGAAGGGAGGAGCGGAGGCCTGACCGCCTTGCGGAACGAGGACAGGAGGAGATGCTGCGAGCTGGCTCCCCTGCAGTCCCCGAGGGGGCCGGCGGCGACGTCGTCGCGGGCTTAGGGATTGTGACACATTGGATGTCTTTCAACCTGCCGTAGTTATTATTCTGTTTGATGCCCAAAAAGCATTTCATTTGGCCCCGAGGAGCCTCTCGAGCCTGCTTCGGAGCCCGTCGGACACAGCCGAGCAGTGTGGCCGGCCGTGCCCCTTTCTGCAGAGACAGGGTCCCAGGCCCAGGCGGGGTGTCTCCTTCCCCAGGCCTGGCAGCAGCCATTCCTCAGGGACCTGGTCCCCATGAATGAAACCTGTGCCCAGAGACCGTGGTCCCCGTGCTGCGGGCACCGCGCTGGGCCTCGTGGCGAGGGCTTTTCAGAGGTGAGAACTAGGAAGTGAGGCTTTCTGTTTGGCAGTTTTTGTTTTTTGTTCATTCGTTTTG